TACAGCACGGACGAGCTGCAGTACGAGGACGCGCATGAAGCCCTTTGCCGTCATCAGCCACCCGGCGCTGCTGACGTTTGCCGAGTTCACAGTCGGCACGCGCCAGCCCGAGACGTCGACGGCGGACCTGCTGCGGCTGGCCGAGCGCGGGCTCGCCGGGTCCAAGAAGGCGCTCGAGGCCGTGGGCCGGCTGTCCGAGGCCGAGGCCTTCTCCGTCGGGTCGCACGCGCGCTGGCTGCCCGGCGTCAAGGGCGCGCTCAAGTCGTGCATCGCAACGGGGCTCGCCGTGTCGGTCCTGCAAAAGGCACTCGACAGGGCCGGCGAGGGCGGCGACCTCAAGCTCAGGGCCGAGGTGCCCACCCCTGACAAGGCCTATCACGAATGGTGGCTCGTGCCGAGGATCCTGCCAGTGCGGTAGCTGCTCCTCTTCATGCTTGAGGGGGAGGGCAGGGCGCCGCAGGCGCCGAGGCTCCTGGGTTTTCTCCCCATCTTCCCATTTCCCCCCTCTCATCCTCCTGCGACCCCTGTGAACCGCCACCAGGGGGTGAATATGCCTGTGCGGTTTTTTTCGAGGGGTTTATTGACAGCAGGTCGTCTTGAAGAAGAATCATTTTTTTACTTCTTTTTTTTTCAATATCATAAAAGAATAATTCTCGTTACAGCCTGGCATACTAAACTCGTGGTATTCCATCCTTCCAGTTCCGGCCCCTGTGAGCATGGGCATCACAAACTCCGTCTCAAGCGAGCTTCCAACCGTCCTCCCAGTGCGAGACATCTCATCTGATATCCGTCGCAATATACAATTTTTACACGCGTTTGATGTTCTGTCTACGTTCCATGTCAGTAATGACGCGGAGAAACATGCCGCTGTCCGAATGAGGGCGCTCAAGCACGCTTCTTGGCAGCGGCAAGGCGAAGCTTGACAGTCTGCTCGTAGAGCACATCCTTGAAGGCGAAGAGAAGAGCAGCCGTCAGGACGCTCTGGGTCACCTTGGGGCCGATGCCTGGTACTGTTTAGTGAGGGGTTCGATGCGGCTTGACAATGGTATAACGCACCCTTGTAGAGACCCTTGTATCCCTCCTCCTTGACGACGCGGTTGATCGCCTGGAAGACGCCCTCCTTCTTCTCGCCGTGGGCGGCAACGTGCATCTGGCTCTTGACCGTGATGTAGGGGTACGTCACGGATGTGGCAAAGAGCTTGCCCAGGGCGCCGAGGAAGAAGGCAATAGTGGGCGTCACGCGCCTCTTCTTCTCGACCGAGTTCTTCATCTGCTCAAAGAGCGTGTACTGAAGGATAGGGTTGATGACGAGGACCAGGGCGGGGATGACGCCCGCGAACAGGGCCTGGGGTCCCTCGTACTTGAGGAGGGCCAGGAGCACGCCGAGGGTGCTGGGGGCCTTGGCCTTCTTCTTCTTCTCCACCTGGGCCTCCTCGTCGCCCTCCTTGACCTTCTCCTCCTGAGCGCGACCGCGGGTGGTGACGCGCGTGTTGACGACCCAGATGGGGTTCGTGATGATGACGGTGGCGCTACCGGCGAGGGCGCCGGCGAGCATGGACTCGACGGTCGTGAGCTTGCCGGCGACGCGGCCGGGGCGGGAGGCGGTGGCCTTCTCGAAGAAGGCGCGGGTTCCATTCGTACCAGTAGTAGTAGACAAAGTTGGTGACGCTGATGCCGAAGAGGGCCCGAGTTGAGGCCCGAGTAGAGGCCCGAGACACCCTCGCGCGCGATGATGTTCTGCACGGCGTCGATGAAGCGAGACTCGGCGCGTTTGGACTCGACCTGGGCGCGGGTCGAAAGAGTGATGAGGGGGTAGCTGGTGGGCACGTGTCAGCGGGCGGGCGCACTTGTTCGCAGGTGAGGGTCAAGGGCAGACGCACGTCAGAGCCATGGACAGGAGACCGCCGCCAGCGCCGGCGAGGGCGTGGGCGACGTTGTCATTCTGGGGGAGGACGGGCTTCGACATGGTGATGGTATTGGTGGAAGTGACGGCGATGGCAACAGTTTGGGGCGATGACGACGTCAGTCTCGTGGATAGCGCGTTGATGGCGTGGTGAGCACAGGTGTGAAAGACAGGCAACTGGGACGGGGCGTCAACGGGGAGATCGTAGAGGAATAGGACTCGAGGCCGAGGACGCTTGGGATGATGCTTTATTGATACTGCAAGCCCAAGGTGATGCAAGAGAGTGAAATGATATCCCTAGTCTTGCGAGCCGAGGTCAACTCTAGTCGTGCCGACGGCAGATGCAGGGCAGGAGGCGTTCGGCATGCCACCTGCCCACCCTGCCCACCTTGCCTAGGCTTGCTAGGTAGGAGGTACCCTGCCTTGCTTGCCCACCAAAGAGGAACGTCCTGCGACACCCGATGCCCGGTTATGTCATTCATGCAGATGCGGCGACCGCAGTGGGAGAAGCGGGGCACCCACCTGCCCCTACCTAGATGCCTAGGCTTGCCAGGCTTGCTAGGCTTGCTCCTAGGTACTAGGTACCGCCAGCTCTGGGGCCTTGCGAGCCTGGGGAAAGGACTTGAGGGGACATGTGAAGTGGCCCAAGCTCACCGATTCTGCAGTGCACCTCTTCTCTCCACCAACGCAAAGCCAGCAGCAGCATGAACTGTGGGCTGGAGCTCATTTACATGTACACACTGCATCACGTGTCGCCGCCCTCTACACACTTTTGATGCCATAGTCGCTATCATAATTCCACATCGTCCTGAAGAGTTCATGCCATGCTGCCTTCCCTATTCGTACACGCCAGTAGGGATTGTATTGCCAGACAGCCCCACCACGACTGTCTTGTAGGCAGGTGGGTAAGCACAAGTGACTCGTGAACAGCATTTGGTGAAAGAAAAAACTCCATTATTGAGCGCCTGCCAGTGTCCTCTAGGCATAACTACTTGTGTACACGGTGAGCAAAAAAAAACAGGAACGACAGGCCTCCCCTTCCCCTCCCCCGCAAACGAAAAGAAATCAAATCATAGCGCATCTTCAACGCCAACTATTCCAACGTCATCTAACCAACAGCGTGACGTTTCTACTCCTGCCCTCGTCCCTAACATGCGTTACCGGCCAAAACGGTCTGGCTGCCTCTCGTAGCCATCATGGGGCCGCAGCTGACGACCCATCATCTGCTGCTGCTGCTGCTGCTGCTGCTGCTGCTGTTGTTGTTGTTGTTGTTGTTGCTGCTGCTGTTGTTGCGCCTCGCGGGGATCCCTGGGATCACCTCTAAGGTCCCTGTGATCCCGCACCATGTCGTTTGGTCGCATCTGCAGGTCACGCGGGTCAGGCGCATATTGAGCTTGAGGCGGACCCCGGCCATCGTAAGCTGAGACGGGTGTGTAGCTTCGGGGCGGCGCCTGGTCGCGCGGTCCTGGCGTGGCGTAGCGCGGCGGATACGCCTGCTGAGCCTGCGGAGCCATGGGCTCTGGTGCTCGAGACGTTGGTGGGAACCTGCCGGACATAGAGTGCGAGTGTTGGTGCCCGCTTGGTCCTCCATACATCGACGGCGGGCCCCGGTCGTCTCGCAGTGACAGGTGATGTTGCGCTTGCTGAGGCGGTGCTTGCTGCTGCTGCTGCTGCTGCTGCTGTTGAGGGGGAGGCGGTGCTGCCCATGACGGCTGCTGCGACATGGATGACGGCGTCGGTGGCTTCTGCACTCCGCCGTGAGGTGATGCCCACGATGGCTGTTGGGGCGGTGCCTGCTGTCCCTGCTTCGCAACCGCGCCATGTGACGTTGGCCATCCCGCTTGCTGTTGCGGTGCCGGCGGCCCTTGGTTCATGCTATGGCCTTGTGGTCCCGATGGCCAAGCCGTCTCCCGACTGGGCGGTGGCGGGTCCCTTGGTCTCGATCCCGGGTGCTGGGATGCGTACGAAGGAGGGGGGGAGCCAGCGTGTGATGTCGGGCCCCCACCATATGGGGGATAGGCAGCCTGGCTTGTGTAGGAGTCCCGTGGCGCCTGAGGTGGGTTGGCATAGTGAAGAGATCCTGCAGGCGGGCTCGCAACTGAAGGCTGGGCGTGTTGTTGATACGGGTGCCGATAGTAGGACTCACGCTCGGATGCCACAGCTGCCTCGTGCGGTGAGACAATGGTGGACCTTGGAGGGTTGAGGTGCTGAGCCTGCGGCGAAGCTGTATAACTCGGCTTCAGCTGTGGCATGCCGGAGGTGGCAGGTGGTGCAGACTCTCCATAGTGGTAATTACGTGGGCTGGGGTCGGGACGCAGTTCCATACCCGTCGGCGGCGGCGGTCCAGACGAGTTTCTAAGCATGGATCCGGGGTGCGGCGAAGGGGATGGTTGCGCCGGGGTCTTAACGGGCGTGCTGGCACGTTTAGGTTGCGCAGGCGGATCATCGTTCAAAAGCTGCATAAGGCTGGACGTCTTACGTTCTTGCGCTGGACGCGGTGGAGGCGTGGCAGCCGCAACAGGCGTGGTGGGCTGGGACTGGTGCTTCGGCTGTGGAGGATACGGCTCAGACATGCGTCCTGACATTTGTCGCTGTGCCGTGCTGATCGGTCTTTGAGCTGGAGGCGTCGAGACTGGCGGCTGAAAAGGGACACCGAGCAACCGCGGGGTCCGTGCTGTG